GGATTAATCTAATGGTTACTACTTTTGAATTAAATTTTAAAGCTTTAATAACACTTGACTGTTTTTAAAAAGTATTTTCTCTTATATTTGTGTTATTTTAATGTTTTAAACGTCTAGTTTGCTGACAATTGCATTATTCCTGAGAAACACACAAAAAATATAAGATTTCTTTTACTATGGCTTTAGTTCACACATGAATTTTGGTGCCAATACTTGTTTCTCACGATTTTTATGTAATCTTTTTCTCTCCTCACAATACAAACACACCGTTTATATTGAATTTCGATGTGATATTCAACTCTCATCTGTTTTTTCTGTACTTTTTTCTATTTAAGTATAATGGCAATTTTGTAAACATAAATAATTTTATATTTAAATCATTCTGTATAGGCAGTCAAGTGTTATTAAAGCTTTAAAATTTAATTCAAAAGTAGTAACCATTAGATTAATCCAACTTAACTATTTTAGTAATCATATATACTGTATTATACATGTAAAAGTAACTTAGAATTACAATAAAACATATTTTATTCATTATATTTGTTTTAATTCCTAGAATTTTGTTTGCAAACAATTCATTTACAATTTTCAGTGTTAAGTGATTTTGTTGTTATTTTCTTAATTAAATTTATCTTTAATGTGTTTATTATAAATATGTTTTACTATGTATTTCGACCACACATTCAACGCCGGCATAATGGGTCTAAAGGTGTGCTAATGTTTCCGCTGTTATAGTGAAAAAATAATTTAATGATAAATTTAATTAAGAAAATAACAACAAAATCACTTAACACTGAAAATTGTAAATGAATTGTTTGCAAACAAAATTCTAGGAATTAAAACAAATATAATGAATAAAATATGTTTTTTTGTAATTCTAAGTTACTTTTACATGTATAATACAGTATATATGATTACTAAAATAGTTAAGGATTAATCTAATGGTTACTACTTTTTAATTAAATTTTAAAGTTTAATAACACTTGACTGCCTATACAGAATGATTTAAATATAAAATTATTTATGTTTACAAAATTGCCATTATACTTAAATACACATACTGTACTAGACTTTAATAACAAATTATTTATTAAGAAATCAAATAAAATACACGAACTTATGCTTTGTAATATAATGAATATAATATTCAACGAATTCATATATGATATATTCTGTCATCACAAACATCTGTCGATCGCATATACATGTCGTCAAAATAGAGTATATTTTATGATTAAATTTACAAATAATTCATACATTTGATTTCCTTATAAAAAAGATTTTATTATTTATTTTTTATACTGACAAATTTCAATTACAAAGTATAAATATAATACTATTTTTGGTTTGGGGCGACATTCGTTAATACATAAAACACAGTTTGTATACTAAACTCATTACGTTAAAAAAAGATTACTGAATATTCGTGTTGGGTTAGAGTAATATAATATCTGAAAGGCAAGAATGAGACGTACCTCTGAAAAATTGCTTTTATTTCTTATTGAAACATTGCTTTTATGTAAAGTTGGAAATTTACTTATAATAAACCTTATAAATTTCAAACTTTACATAAAAGCAATGTTTCAATAAGAAATAAAAGCAATTTTTCAGAGGTACGTCTCATTCTGGCCGAACAGATATATTGAACAATAATTGAAATATATCTTTTTGTTATTGTATAAACCTATTACAATTGTCACCTTTGAACTATAATCCATTAGGTATATCGAGATACTTTTATATATAAAAACTAATCCTGAAACAAACACTCCGTCAAGAATCTAATCTATTGCACACTCAATGAGAATAAATGTCTGTTTTTGTGAAGGAAATACAGATTCTTATTATACTTTTGGGTGTTTCTAATGTTGTGTTTAGTAAGTATTCATGTGTTTTATGTATTTTAGAAATTTTTTCATTATCAAGTATAAAACAATTATATGTTTACTGCAAAAGTTAATAATATATGCCATTAAAGTGTACTTATTATATACTTTTTTGTTGTTTTTCAAGGCGATGGGATATTATAGTGTTAATTACCATTCATTATATTTACATAGTAACAATTTAACTAATATTAAACTAACCATTATTTATTTATTAACTGAATTTTTAGTAATAATTTCTTTGTGTTTTACCACTCTTTCATTGCAAATGCAAGACCACTGATGGACTGGAGGGCACATGTATGCCATACACCTATTGCTTCCAAAATAAATAATTGACTTAAAAATCATTATTAAAGAAACACAAAATGGTGAGAAAGTTTGCAAATGCAAGACCACTGATGGACTGGAGGGCACATGTATGCCATACACCTATTGCTTCCATGAATACGGTGACATGACTTCACTACAAATGAATACCTGTCTCAGAGATATCGGTCAACCAACCGGAGTAATTGGTGTTTGTTGTCCTGTTAGAGGGCTTTCTAGAAAACCTGAACTTCCAAATAGTAGGCAATTGTCCACAAAGTGTTGTTATATTTTAATATCAATTGATTGCTATACTATTAGTTCCCTATCGACGTCCCAGACGTTACCGAAAAGCAGCCATTCCTGTGAACATAGATCACATACTACTCGATGAGGCCATCACTGATGGCAAGAAAACTTTTAGCAAACAATTATCGGACGAAAAGAAACTCATTAAAGCAGGTTTGAGTTGTTTTTAAATATATCGAGAATATATTTGTGAAAATAGTTTTCGGTCAGGTTTTCATCAACACAATGACACAATGGAGAGCTTTCATCAGGGTTTCTTTGGTGCACCCGATAAACACAGGCGGGATATCAACAGAAACGGGTCTCTTATTCTCGAGACATCCAGATCTATGGCCGAAAAGTATCACTTTTTATGAACTTCTATAGCTTTTAATTATAATTGTATATCATATACTGTAACTGTTTATCGCGTATTGTTTAGATTGAAACTAAGTCCCGATAAATGTCATGATTATCTCAATGAGTATCATTTAAACGACACATCCCTTAAGGAAAAATGCGTTACCGAACCTATATGTGATCCTAAATATAAATACCGAACCATTGATGGCAGTTGTAATAACCTTAGGCATCCACTTTGGGGACGGTATGTTTAATAGTGAAATCACACATCTAATAACAGTTATATGAATATACAGATCAATGAGCGAAATGTCCCGTCTTTTGCCGCCATATTATGCCGATGGGATCGACACATTCAGACAATCTATCGATGGTTCAGACCTTCCCGGCGCTCGAGAGCTGTCAGCTTTGGTGAGTTGACTACATATATATACCAATATATACCAATATATATATATATATATATATATATATATATATATATATTAGATTTAATATAATTCACACCTTTATCAATTCAATTATTTGAAAACCATAGCTCACACAAACTGGGGACCAAGAGCACCCGATTTTATCAGTTTTGTTCTTACAGTTTGGACAGGTATGCCGACATACAAATTGATTTATGACATGAAAATTCATTATTGCATTAAAGTTTTTAGGTCACGACACGTGTCTCGCTGCCAATGTTAGAGGTTTAAAAATTACAAAATTTAAAAAAATAAAATTTATATTTATTTTTAAAAATGATTTAATCAGCCGCTACAGGAGAGGGTCTGTCATGTTGTAAGCGGACAGAAAATGGACAGTTAGTTGAACACCCAGCGTGTAAGCCTATACTCATTCCTCCGGATGACCACTTTTATAGTAAATTCAATGAGACGTGCCTTAATTTTGTGAGGAATACACCCGCGGCTACCAGTGCCTGCACACTAGGTTCAAAAATATTACTTTCTCTGCTTAACCCCATTAATTAATAATAAATATCCAGGTCCTCGAGAACAGCCCAGTGTTCTCACTCACTTCATCGATGGCTCACAGATATACGGCAGCAATGAGGGCAAGATGAAGGCTCTCCGATCCTTCAAAGATGGTATCGATTCATTGATTTTGATATTTTTAAACTCAAAAAACAATATCTCAAAACATTAGTATTGATTTTTTAGGTAAACTTAAAGTATCCATAATAAATGGCAAACAATTCTTGCCGTTTGACACGAAAAACAACAACGGCCCGTCAGTTACTTGCAGAGCACCTGAAGGACAGCACTGTGTTTACGCCGGTATGCCAGCAATAGTTAGAAAAAAATTTACTCAAATATTTGATACATTTCTGTATGAAAAGGCGATATAAGATCGAACCAACAATTGGTTCTAAATACACTTCAATTGATATTCTTGAGGTAAGCCTCTCTAACCCATACGTGTGTCTAAACTTAATAATAAAGAATTTCTATTCAATTAATATTTATTCTATTTATGAAAGTAATATTAAATTTCTATTTACTTGTATAGAGAGCACAACAGAATTGCGGACATACTAAAGTCTCTAAACCCAAGTATTAATCAAATTATTATTATATAACATGTCATTGATTATTGAATAACAATTGGTGTCTATGTCTATGAAAAGGATGGACCGATGATATACTGTTTGAAGAGACCCGCAGAATAATCGGCGCTCAACTCCAGTGGATTACATACAATGAGTTCCTACCCCTGGCTATAGGTTTATAAGTGGCTATAAATTCAATTTATTTTTGCTATACAAACACATCTGTTTAGGTCGTCGTGCGATGCAAGTGTTTGACCTGTCCCCGAGCCCCTGGGGCTACTCCAACAAATACAAAGACTATTATAACCCGGGGATTATCAGCGAGTTTGCAACGGCAGCCTTCAGATGGCATACATTGGTCCGGGTATTGAGATATTTGGTGGAAATAAAAGTTTTATCCAATGTGTTAATTATTATCTGAATTTACTGTTTCAAGAGTTTTTACCATTTACGGGACTCGGAAGGGGAGTATACATCACACCTGCAACTCCGCAATATATTCAACGACGTGTCACCTCTTTTTAAGGCCGGTGCTGTCGATGAGGTGCTCTATGGGACGGCAGTACAGGCTTCGCAGAAATTCGATAGTATGTTCACCGAAGAAGTTAGTGAAGAATATTCTCGAAATAATTCTTATTTTATTTTTAAGTCTTTTTCACTGATTCTATACATAAATATTGAAAACTTAAACTAAATTCTTAATTTAATTGACATATGTTTTGTGATTGATTTACAGCTAAAGGATCAGTTGTTTCGGCCGCCAAACAGCTTATTCGGTGGCGACTTAATCGCCGATAATATCCAAAGGGGTAGGGATCACGGGCTGCCTCCTTATAACAAGATGCGAGAGATCTGTGGTTTACCAAGGTTAACTAGCTTTGATGATATGGATCGTGCGTTTCGCAGCGGAATCGGCAGCAATTTTGCCAAACATTATAAAAGTGTTGACGACATCGACCTGTTTATGGGCGGCATTCATGAGAAGCCGGCGAAGGAGGGTATCCTCGGACCAGTGTTTGCCTGTATTGTCGCCGAACAGTTCAGACGATTAAAAGGTACCGCAATATTAGACACTAAACCTTATAATGAGTTTGATTTTCATTTTTGTGTTTTCAGAGGGCGACCGCTTCTGGTTTGAAAACTTTGGTTTCAGTCACTCGTTCACTGAAGGTTTGCAATCAATTTAATAAAATTAGTTGTTTTCTCATTATAATTAGATTAGAGTTTTAAAAATTATCATTTGTTATGCTTTCGTGTGTTTATCCGCATAAACAGCACAAATATATGAGATCCGAAAAGTGAGTCTAACGAGCATTATATGTGCGAATGGCGATGACATCCAATACTTCCAGCCCTTAGCGCTCGTGCAGCCTATTAATGGGTAATTAATTAATTCAATTTTTAGTATTTGACTTGGTGATTTATGAGATTATGTATTTTTTGGTGTTTTGCTTGTTTACTCCGAAACCTTTTAGCAACCGTTTGATGAATTGCTCGCAAATATCTCACATGAATTTGAATCACTGGAAGAATGAGAAGGTTTAGCTGACATTCTTGTGATAACTATATGTTGTTATATTTAAATGGAAATAAAATAATAATCTAATCAATACTTTTTCAATTTATTAAAATATTAGACTATATCATTAAATATACAACCATTATAATTAATAAATAGATTATTATCATTATATCAAAACAATTTCATATCTTAAAGAATTAAAAAAGTTTCCAAAGTTTTATTAAACTCAAAGCCCAGTAATAATCCAGTTGATAGCAGTCTTAAACGTACATATATATATATATTTATGAACGGCTATTATAAGTATATGACATGATTTTAATAAATAATGTTATGTAAAGTCATAAAAACAAAAACATAAAAATAGGAGCTAATCAGGTGTACAGACATTTAGGCGAATTGTGCCTCAAATGTGTATTTTATTATTCCGTATCGCAAGCAAAACAGAGAGCCATACAAGCGATAGAAGGGGGAGAGTGGGGGGAAGGACTACCAGAATCGAGTACTATATCTGTACTACCAGTGCCATGAATTTGGCCATAAATACTGGAGTTTCATAAACACACACAACGAAAAAAGCGGCTGATTCTATTATTGTATTTGTTATACTATTTTGTGTTTTTATAAACAAGAAAAAAGTACAGAAAAAACAGATGAGAGTTGAAGATCACATCGAAATTCAATATAAACGGTGTGTTTGTATTGTGAGGAGAGAAAAAGATTACATAAAAATCGTGAGAAACAAGTATTGGCACCAAAATTCATGTGTGAACTAAAGCCATAAAATGTAAAAGATGCATTTTTCTTATTCATGGCATTTTCGACTCCATATTATTATTCTCATACATATACATAAATATTTGCTATAAATTTATTTAATGTCTTATACCGTATAGATTTAACATGAAATACATGAGTGAAAAAGCCTTTTACATAAATATTACATTAAGAAATGTATTTTACTTCTCATATTATATAAAACGATAGCTTCTATTATATTTCAATAAAGGTTTTTATTTTTTATTTTAAGTTTTTTATAACGATACATAGTTTCTCATAATACATAATAAGTTTCAAATGAAATGAAACTTTTTATATTGAATTCTGCGTTTATAAAACTTTATATTCTGTTCAAATATAATGTAGTAGTCTATAGTAGTTTAGTACTGTACTCTACATTTAAAACCAAAATTCTAGCCAAATGTTCACTAATTATAGATATTTCTGATGAATAATATTCCGCTTCTGAAATAATTGCGAACAGAATTCATTTGAATAAAAGGTCTGGTTTTGTGTAATAAAGGTCTCGAAGTGAAGTGTAAAATGTTTTGCTTTTGGCTCACAAAACTGTGATTTCTCGCTCACAGCCTAATGTAATGTTTAAGTTATGCGTTGAATACATATATTCTGTTTTATATACCATTTTGTTGTGAATTAGCGTTGAATTTGCAGTGAATGAGCGCACAATTGATGCTCATTTGCTCGCTTGGGTCAGCACACTATACAATGCATTAATACTGCTGCCAGAATTATTGTTAAGAATTTACTACCAGTGCTCTCCCATACACGCACTCCCCCTCTATGGCACAATGAATGCCTGTGCCAACACATTATTAAGGATTATAATATTAAATAAAGAAAAATCAATACAAATAGTAGATATGGTTTTGCATTATTTACACCAGTTTCATACGAAAGCATTTTCCTAATTATTATATAGTGCTCTCGATTTTTGTAAATTCTTTAAAACATCTGAATTTAATGATTTTGCATTCATTATGTTTTCTACTTTTATAAATATATCACTTATTTTTGTCGTATTTTGCATTCACATTAATTTAATCTAACTAATTAATACATGAATTTTACACCTAAATTAATTATATATATTTTTGTGAAATACTTGCAAACTTGGTTTGAAATGGATAGTTTTTGCTAAATCTATTTTATTGAAATACACTTATAATCTTTAAATAAATTAAAATACGTTATATTTCAGTAATTTATTTACAATTTACAAATTTCACATTTTATAATTTGTAATCGTATTGAGATGTACACGCTAATTTAATTAGCCAGCAAAATGATGGTTAAATTCAATTTTGTAATGAGAAACACACAAAACTCTTCTATCAATTTGTGACAAACATTATATGGTTTGTTAGTATTCAGCACAAAAACGGCACAAATTTAATTAAAACACACTTTTTACTGACAAATGAAAACTTTAATAACGTTTATAACTTTTGTAGCGAATATAGTCTCTGAAGTCTGCACTCATTGGAGGCGTTTAGATATTTATTCAATTTGAGTGAAACATAAATGGCTTACATTGAAATTGTCAGCAAACTAGACGTTTAAAACATTAAAATAACACAAATATAAGAGAAAATACTTTTTAAAAACAGTCAAAACATAAGGCTTAGAGAGAGAGAGAGAGAGAGAGAGAGAGAGAGAGAGAGAGTTACTTTTTGAAATAACAGAAACAATTATGGTTTGAATGTATAAAATAAAATAAACAAAACTCTATTTTCTATGTGGAAATTCCTTATGGAATTCACTCCATCTATAATAATACAATACCATTGGATTTATGTGTAAAATATCTTTTATTCAGTAAAATATGCTATTATTTTGTTCAAAAAATGTCTTTTCGGTCAATCAATTTTATTTTCCAATATATAAAAATATACAATAATTTTGGGAAAATAATTCCATAAAATATATTGCAAACAATCTAGCACATAACAAATAGAGTATGTTTACTGTTTAAACAACATTTTGAGTATTGTTGTAGATTTAGAAAGCACTCAAAACTTTTGGAAAATTTTTATTAATTGTATTCTTCCGCAAAAATAGAGAATATTCTGTATTTTTAATGACACTCTTTTGTCTCAACCATTCATCTAATTAATTGCACTTTTAATGCAGGATTCAATGCACTTCACGAGAGACAAAATTGTCGTTTTTGCTCTCATAGTAAATGTAATATAAAATGCATTTTATGGACAAAAATTGAATTAATGTATGTGTTTAAGAGTATTTTTTGCATAATTTTAATACTTATAAGAGCTTTAAAACTTTAAACTTCTATTACAAATTTGAAAAATCATGTAATAACTGAAAATTTAGATTTTAAAAAATTGAATTAATGTATGTGTTTAAGAGGATTTTTTGCATAAATTTAATACTTATAAGAGCTTTAAAACTTTAAACTTCTATTACAAATTTGAAAAATCATGTAATAACTGAAAATTTAGATTTTAAAAATTATTTTTATTTATTTTAGTGTTAACTTTGGAAAGAAGTTTCGGTACTTTTATTTTCACTGAATATATTTAATTATCATTTCGTATAAAACTTTTAAAATGCCTTTGAATTAATGAACGGGTTTTGAGATGTGAGACAAATGAATAAAATCCTAATTAATTATTTCATAGAAGAACTCAAAAACAACACAAATAGGCATTCAATTGGGAAAGAGTTTTAGTGATGTTGAGGGAAAGGGATGCCGTTTCACAACACATACATAAAAGATATGCAAATAAATTAGTTTCAATCCAAATAAATAGACGCGAAAAACAAAATTCATAACTATTATGATAGACGTCATTGCAAAAGCAAAAACAGAAATAATATGGAAAAAATAAGTCCAAAAAAGGATGTGGATGCAAAACATAGAGTGTATGTGTGTTATGTGTGTAGTCTTGAGAGAGCATTACTTTCACTGTTTCTCGTATGCATCGGGAGATTGAATGGTTGTGCGCCAACACAAACGCAACACAAAAATCAATACCATATACTCCTGCATCCAATGTGTGGCTGATCTGTAGGCGCTCTGCGATACCAGAGAGCGAGTGATAGACTAAAGAGAGAGAAGGAAAGAGAGAAAGAGAGAGACTTACATACTGTGTATGTGTTTCACAAACAGAGACACACTTTTTATTCGTGTTGTGCAATAAGACCCGTCTCATTCACTCGCACTCACATACATTGCATTTGTCTCTCACTTGGCATCGCGAGGGCCAGGGATGTAGCGAATAGAGCATAGCATGTATGAGTCGACTACTGCCAGTGCCACTGTCTAAATAATTGTGCGCCAGAATAAACTCGACATTGTTTTGGATTTTATATAACATATATTTTCGGGTATCCCTCATATTCTGTGCACAATTGTGTTCATATTATTTTTGAATACATCTATTTTGCTGGTCGTGTGTGTGTCTCATAACTGGTTTATTGCCACTCGTAGACCATATTTGGGTGCAAATGAGAAATTAACGCCAAAACCAGTGCTAACCGGCGGGAAATGGATGCGTGATTCGTGTGCCACTCCGTGAGTGTCTCAGTGTCTCCTCATCTGTGGACTCAATTGTGGAGCCATTGTTGCCAATAGTGACGGCTTATGAACACAACCGACATATGAATTCAATTCACATATGAATGACAACTCCAATGAAGACTATAATGAAGTCTCAAAACTAATAACTTGAGTGTCACTAAACCGTTGATGAATTTTAATTTGTTTAAAATTAAATTTTTAATTAAATAAGAAAAACGAAAATACATTCATTTTAATACAAATATATAGTTATGTATATGAAATTGAATTATATTTAAACAATTGTTTGTATGAGAAAAACTAATTTCTTAATCAGTTATATATGCCTATATAAATACTACGATATTTATTATACAAATTAATCTATTGTTTTGTATATTCCGGACCCAAATGATGAAGAATTATCAGAATATTCTGTGAATACATATATACTATGATGAGTGATGTGTGGCTACTATTCAGTGATTCTGTTATGTTTGGTGTGAATAATGAGAAGACGTCGCCGTTATTACAGTAAAACATATTCAATGTCATCGACACTATTACATCTTTTATACCTATCATGTGTTATACCCATTGCTTATACAGGTGAGTGACTGGTGCTCGGGCACCGGTAGCAATTGTCTATCACTTTTTCCCTTTAATATAGACCATAGCATTACAAATATAATAATAAACGCTATCCTTTTTATGTCACACTTTATTCCCAAATAGTTTTTGTGTGTGTTTTCATTAGACAAACACGATATTAATGTCATGTCATTCATTACTTTCATATCCAGTATATATATATTTCTAATTAAATAAAACAAATAATTTTTCCTTTATACATTTGATTTATATGTGCGAGACAAATGTGAGTCTATATTATCTAAGGGTTAATCCTTAACAAATTAGATTAATGTTTGTTTAATTATTTGATTTGTCTTTAGATATTGTCTCATTTATTTGTTTCTCATTATTTTCATATTGTATTTATTGTAACATTTGTTGCGAAGTATATTTTATATTTTATTAATTAGCATTCAAAATATAGTTGATTGATTTTAACATAGATATGTCATTCAAAGTTGTCATTCAGCAAATTTAATTAAAAATTGTAGAATCAATGTAATTTATAGCTGAATGTGGGAAATATATGTGCTGTTTGAGAAGTTACAAATGTATTTAAAATAACAACAATAATTTTTCTATTTGATTATTATTCAAATATCTATTTTAGTGAACGTAATAGTGATAAATGGCTTTTGATTTATGCATAAAATTTCGATCAATTTCTTAACAAAAGTCAGAATATATTTTTCAAACATAAATTCAACACAAAAACCTTTACTGTAATTCAATGCAAACATACAATTCATAGTTTTTTGCGATAGTTTTTAGTATTTTATTTTTTTCATGTCAAAAGTAATATTTGTTTTATTATACAATTTTCTCGTTCATTGAAAAAAGTCTAAACTTAATCTACAGAAGTGCTCTCATCTGATATATCACTGCAAAGATTAATCACAAAAGATATTTCACACCCAAAATGTGGGGAACTGTATCGCATTTGATTAGGAGGCTGCGAAATAGTGTTAGGTGGGGGCGAGAGTGGTATGCAGTGTAAATATATACAGTATATCTGATATACACTTTTACGTGAAGTTAATTGAACAGTATGAAGGGGAGGGTAGTTAGGAAAACTGGGGAGAGAAAGAGTGAGTGAAAAAATAATTTTTCCAAAAAACCATTCACTATATGGAGAGCCCATTCACTCTACGCTCCAATCGCTGGCAAATACAGTGTAGTGTAGACTGTGTTTCAAATTGAATGCCAGAGAATCAAAATTAATGTATTGCTATCAACAACCAGTGAGAGAAAAAAAAAGTTTTTTTAACCAAACACTGGCCTAAAGTATTGAGAGAGAGAGAGAGAGAGCGAGTGAGTGAGTGAGAGATGGAGTATTGAGTAAATAAAACACATTTAATGAATAATTTCTGTCGTTCAGGGCTTTCGATATACACTACATATATCTAACTCTAAGTGTATATATCTTTAGAGACTTAAGAAAGAAAACTCTTAATTCTTGACCTCATTTTTTGTTGAACGTGGAAAATAACATTATATGAGATACGGCTACACCATTGCATTATTAATGACTATTTAATCCATGAGTCGTTTATTATAATCATAATTATATATTAAAATAGATTATATAATAAATATTCTAAATTTAGGCGCACAATTTATATTAAAGAAATATTTTGGTTGCTTATTATCTAAATGACAAACACACTTATGTTTTTTTTATATATGGGACAGTAGTTTATTATATGAAATAGTCGTTTAGTTTTTCATTCCGTTGTTTACCCCAAAAACATGAATAGTTTATCGATTCTATTGCAATAGGAATCACTTGTATAGTCATTTCGGTGTATAACTCAGTTAAGTCTTAGTTTGTTCATTCAATAGCTCTCTCTCTCTCTCTCTCTCTCTCTATAAAACACATTTAATGAATAATTTCTGTCGTTCAGGGCTTTCGATATACACTACATATATCTAACTCTAAGTGTATATATCTTTAGAGACTTAAGAAAGAAAACTCTTAATTCTTGACCTCATTTTTGTTTGGAAAATAACATTATATGAGATACGGCTACACCATTGCATTATTAATGACTATTTAATCCATGAGTCGTTTATTATAATCATAATTATATATTAAAATAGATTATATAATATATATTCTAAATTTAGGCGCACAATTTATATTAAAGAAATATTTTGGTTGCTTATTATCTAAATGACAAACACACTTATGTTTTTTATATATGGGACAGTAGTTTATTATATGAAATAGTCGTTTAGTTTTTCATTCCGTTGTTTATACCAAAAACATGAATAGTTTATCGATTCTATTGCAATAGGAATCACTTGTATAGTCATTTCGGTGTATAACTCAGTTAAGTCTTAGTTTGTTCATTCAATAGCTCTCTCTCTCTCTCTCTCTCTCTCTCTCTCTCTCACTCACTCACTCACTCTCTCGTTCATTCAAATTCAATTTACTTCAATTGATTTAAATAAAATCTCTTTCGATTTCCACAAATAAGTCAAATAGAGTTTATATGTAAGAAAAACATCACTTTTCATTGATTTTGAAATATTCTGTTTTGCTTTACTTTTTTTTGTTAAATCAATTGATTTTTAAAATTTTCAATCTATTAGAGAGTATATTATATTTCAGTAAATTTGATGATGAAATAAAATTGAATTTATATTATTTTATGTCTGAATTGTATATACACTTCATATCATTTCAATCTCTTTTAAATGTATATTAATTTTATGATTAATGGAAATGCCGTCCCTTTGTATTCATTTTAATGATTAGACTCTAAATCTCGGGCTTAACTTTACGTTCAAAATATATTTTATTCACAATCAGTATATAATCTATGAATCAAAATGTTTTCCTTCAAAAAGATTTTCATAGAATTTTAATAAAATTTTCATTTATAATGTCTAATATGAAAATAATTTTTATAGCCAAAGATTTTCTCGGAATTATTATGCATTCAAATCTCTGACTGAATTGTATATGAAAATCAAATTTAGAAAATTGGCACAAAAATAACATTTATTTTTATATCTTATATTTGCATAAAATTGAATAGAATTTCAATTATAAATATTGTTATCAAAGTCTCTCTCTCTCTCTCTCTCTCTCGAGTGTTGGTTCCGGAGCTTATGGTTGTCGTAATATAATGGCTCGAAATGCTTGATAAAAGAGTTACCAAAAACATGAATAGTTTATCGATTCTATTGCAATAGGAATCACTTGTATAGTCATTTCGGTGTATAACTCAGTTAAGTCTTAGTTTGTTCATTCAATAGCTCTCTCTCTCTCTCTCTCTCTCTCTCTCGTTATCAACCATTAAATGAACTGATAATAGGTTTCACTCAATAATATAAATCTCATTAGCATTTATTTTCATCACACAGAATACTCGTAATATTTATAATACAAGAGTCTTTCACAGAATATACATATAAAATGAGATCTAATTATGGTTTTAATTATGAAAACACAATCACATTGTGTGGCAAACATTAAATATACTAATTGTGCGCTCATTTGATCCCAGGTCTGGAACTGAACTCTTTTATCAAGCATTTCGAGCCATTATATTACGACAACCATAAGCTCCGGAACCAACACTCGAGAGTTAAACGCAATCTGAATAGCAATACAAACGGCTCATCCCATTCCCGACACCACACGCCGGCCCCCAATGGCAGACATAATCCTCACAACGAGATTAGACTCAACTTCTCGGCACACAATCGTCTCTTTCGTCTTGTGATGAGAACTGATAACTCATTGTTCACTTCGGATGTCGTGTTTGAGTCCACGAATGGGGCCTTCAATTACGACATCAATAATGCCATTAAAGGCTATTTAGAAGGTTTGTTGAGATAATCGCACGAAACCTACCGTTCCATACAATACCTACCGTACCTTCAATTAATCCATACAATCCATATTAATTGCATTTTAAAAGATTTTTCCATTTGTAAACTTTACCAGATCCTTTAGGTTTTCATATATCAATACTTTACATATACAGTGTATTATACACCATACCTGTTTATATAGCGTAATGGATATATTATTTAGCAAAACATAAGTGTAGTTATTAATTATAAATAACTTTTTTGAGCGTTTGTATGGATTTTAATTACATAAGAGTCGGGAGTTTTGGTGATTCACTCCCATATACTAAACACAATGCATTACACACTCGTCTATCACGATATGATTCTGTCGTTTGAATTTCTAAACGAATGAATTAAATGAGAGAAAAGATAAAAATTTTAAAACAAATATTGGTATTGTATTGTATAATGTTGGCGTGCATTCAATGGTGATATCAGCGATATAGTGAGCAAACAAACTAAAAATTTTAATTTTCATTAATTTGTAAGTGAAATAAAATCTCATTTTTGAGGCCAACATTGCATTCGTTGTTTCGGTACATTAATTTGAATTCAATTTTCATCAGATGTATAGATATAATAAGCAAATTAATTTAGGAGCCCTAATAATAAACAATATATTATATAACTTTATATTGTATTATTATATTAGTAGTCGTATACATATGAATAAAATTAATGTTTCATACGTTACACACAGGAGATAATGCAGTCAATATTTAGCTATATTTTTATACAGTTAATGTTAACTATAGTCTCTCTGTATTTAGTATACAATAAATTATTTACGAGACTCAAGAATTCTTAATTAAAAAATATTCGTTAACAAAAGTTTAAGACATTTATGCCATATATAAAAAAGTCATACATACATATCACATATGTTTGGATCCAGTGTTTAAGTTAATCTAATAAAGAGATCAAAGCCCTAAATGTATATGAAATATATGGACTAATAATGCAAATTATGATTTCCACTTTTCCTAATGTATTACATAAACACAGCATAAATACAGCAAAATATTTCACATTCTCTCTCTATATACACTTAAGTGACTGTAAATATTAATACATTTACATATATTTGAGGCCTGGAATTGAAAACTTTTTTCCAGATAAATATTATTAATAGTTTGGGATTTAAATAAATGAATAAAGTTTTCATAACATAAAGTTGTATAAAGAATTAATTGTCAAATTGATTGTCGCTGAATATTTTCTATTAATTATTCTTTGCATAAACATTATATAAAATACAATATCGTCTAATGAAATGTAAAAATATTTATTTTTGCGCTCAAAAAAATATTAATATTATATACACACTAATTCTGTACTAATATATCATCACTCGGTTTCCTATCGGAGAAATATAGATATAAATTATTTCCGTTCAGTTGTAATCAGATTAGTGTTCAGTTAGACACACATAAACACATCCAAAAGCAAAACAATGGCACAAAAGTAACAAAAATTAATTAGAAATTTGCTTTACTATTAAATTCTGGGCGATTGGCCTAAATCTGAGCTCAAGAATAGTCTATAGACTATAGACTAACAGTCTGTATATGTGTTTGATCTGACATTTAGATGACGAGCGCTCATACGTAGAGGGAGTGATCACATCGGACGGGCTGATCGACGGCCACATCCAGACGCCAAATGAGGAGTATTTCATTGAACCCGCGAATCGCTACTTTGATTCACAAGACTTTCACTCAATTATATACCTCTTATCGGCGGTAATGTTTCCGACGATCAACGAAAACGTTTGCCATTACTTGCGGAGCCATAACGTCAGCGACGATAATAGTGGCGAGAGTTCATCATTGGATGGCAGGCACACCATGTGCTGCACTAATTGTTCCCATTCTCACCACAGTCCTGATCAAAGGGTTGGCGATCACCATGATTATATTTCATCGACCGGTGCCCCACTCAGGCCTCTCAATGCTGCTGATGGCCACGACAACGACAGCCATCCATACCATGACTACAGCGATGACTATAGTTATGGACACATCATGAGGAACAGTAGTCGTGGCAGCAGTGCTGATGAACAGCCTATCGATTATTTGTTCAGTCAATTAGTCAGTAATTCATTGAATAAGAAAAATAAGAGCAAAACAAATAAGAGATTCCATGCGATGGATGACAGCATCAGAGATGACACGAGCAGCGGAGGAATGGGAGGAATGGGAGGAATGGGAGGAATGGGTGGCAAAAGGCGAACAAAACGAGACGACAATAAAACGAGTGGACAGCCGGCTGACGACAGCTATTATCATAAAAAACGTAATAACGAGGGAAAGACATATTACTGGAGAGACGCCGATTCGTTGCACTACACAGAGTCGGAACCATATGGCGTGAGGGCTGTCCATAGGACTCACTGGACGGATGACAGGCACGACAGGCATGTGGTGATCGATCCCAAGAAGACCACATGCATGCTATACCTTCAGGCCGACCATCTTTTCTACGAGAAAATGGGTTCAGACGAGGCCTGCATTGAGGCCATGACCCGACACGTCCAGAAAGTCAACAGCATTTACAGGAACACCGGTCAGTATATCCATGTCTCACACATTCAATCTAATTGTACGACACATCCACACCACTACTCCCTGTGCGCTCTCGCCCTGTAATCCCCTCGAGTTTTGGCGATAAACTTTTTGCTCTGCTTTTTACACTGTATTCACCGAAAAAAGAGCTCAATTTAATTGATTTTTCCGGCTTTGGCTCAAAAATTCAAAGCCATCATTGAAAAGCCGTTTTTCAAATATATATAGATTTTTTTAAATATAAAAACATTCGCTGTAATCTCATTTTGGGTTAAAGATTCAATGTTTTTCGTATTAAACAGCATTCGTTCATTAATTTAATTATTTAAGCATTTTGTGTGCATATTATTTGGTTATTATATAATAATAAGTTATTTGCAATTTATTCGCTTAGAGACTCAAAACTAGACACTCATGTCATTAGTGTTTGATTTTCGTCAGTGATTTGAAGCCTCTTTCTCTCTCTCTCTCTCTCTCTCTCTCCTCTATTTGAGCCATTCTTTTGATCACTTATTCCTCATTCTCTTATCCGTTATTAGCTCTCAGATGAATAGGATTTATACGATTGTCTTTGAAGTTTTAGCCATTATTTGCTTCAACTCGAGAGCCAAACTTCTCGCCCAAAGACTAGTCGCCAAAAGTTCATTGCAATCGATTCGTTGAGATATACTGTGGGCTGAAGTGCAATATATTTGAGGAATAAATAAATTTCAATCAAAGTGTCTCTTCATTTCCACGTCTATTGCACTGTATATTGCATTTTATGCCCACTTTTATGCCACTATTTGCTGACAATACACACTGTCTGCGAGTTGATTGTAATTAATTATTTCAATTTACAATGGTTTTTAATATTTTTTGCTGTTTTGTAAATTGAGGTTTTAAAAGTGATGCTTAAAATTAATAGAGAGATTCTGTTTGGAAGTATAGATTAGTGCGAAAAAACTTAATCACAATTTATAGACAGCACTGACAGCAAAGAAAATCCTATTTTAATAACATATAACTGTGTATTGAATTCAATAATAATAACTGTTTTCATAGAATACATGAAATGGATATATCCTAAAGAAATATCATTTTTCTGATAAATAGTGGAAAAAGTTTTTTCTCTAAAAAATTTTCAATTTATTATATATTTTTCTATTAGTGTAAAGAAATATCAAAATAACATAAGAAATATTAGGCCATAATTCCAGTGTCTGTGTGGGTATGACATGGAGTGAAGTGAGCGAAGGGTGTTATATAAGGCAATCAATATATCAGCCAGTCAAAAAGACCTTATCAGTCAAGTTTTGTCGGATATAGTGGTGGAAATTAGTATACGATAAGTGTTAAGTATAGTAGATTAGAGCTACATTTCCAACACTAGTCTAATGGCTTATTGATCTGTACTGGCATGGAGTCGACAAAAAATTTATATATAAATCGCTAGATATATATGTTATATAATTTAACTTATATATTGATATACTCTATACGAGTTTAGGCGTATATATATGAGTAAAGAATCTGAACCCAAGTATTAATCATACAGTCATTGATAGGGGAGAGAGAGAGGGAGGGAGAGAGAGAGAGAGAGAGAGAGAGGGAGAGAGAGAGACGATCTTGAGAGAGAATATTCTTGTATTCTTGTGAACAAAATTTCATTGGTTCGACATTTTTCACAAAATACATGGGATGTCAATAGACTTAGAATCGATTTTTTATATGCAATTCATTTTTCATATTATTCTTTATTCTGTGAGAATATCTCTCCAACAAAATATAAGAAATAGAGACTGTTTTTTGGGTTAATATTATCTTTCAGTTCTCTCTATTGGTCGACACCATCGAGAAAAACATTAGACAATACACTATACTTACGATACACTCGCGAGTCATGAGACAAAGAATTTAGTAGACGTTATAAAGTATTTATTTCTCTCTCTTTTCAGTGTATTTTATTTCTTATGTGATTGCCATTAATCTAATGATTATATTATTTATACTAAAACTATTGCATAATGCGTTGCCATAAAAAACTATAGTAGAGACAGACTTTAATAGCCATTGCAGACAAGTCTGGGCCCATAATTGAAAGGATCGGTAAAAATAATATAATGTTTATAATGTTTATCATTCACTTCATGTATCACATAAATAATAAAGGATATATTTATTTTGCATCTGAATTGAAAATAAAACTCATTTAAACATAAATATTTGGTTTTTATCCGATTCTGTGTACAGTATGTGTATGTCAGCTGGTTTTGTGTCCACTGCATTTGAGTAGGCACAGTTAAATAAAAATAACAATTTTATTTGATATTTTTGCTGAATAAATAGCTATTTATTAAATTTATTTTTATGTGTATAATTTAATAAATTTTAAAATAATATTTTATTGGAGTGTATTATGGCTATAACTATAATAGGCATAAATAGTTTTGGGGAACAACAAAACATTTAAATTAAAGTTATTTTCATTTAATAATATAAATGATATTAATATAAAACATATGATAACATTAAATAATTTAATATAGTTAATATTTGGTATAACAAATGAACTGAAAGTTTAAAAAATAATTTTTTTATTCCAAATGTTTTCACTTAAATTACGGCATATTTTTATTATTTTGAAAAAATATTCATTTGGAAATAATAATAAAAATATCATTAAAATTTATAACATCTGAACATAATATAATAAATTAGAGTATTTTGATTTAATTCACGATATGATAAATGACTTTATTTTATTTGATTACCACACGTTTTATAATAAAACATTCATTAATGTTTATAACTTATGAATGGATTCTGGTAATCAAAATTCTTGTTAATAAACAATATATTAAATGACACCAGTACCAAATAAGCCTCTTAATAACTCTTACCTGTTACAATAAAATCACAACAAAATACTTAATTAAACAAAAAAATCAATACACAAAAGTTATATGACATAACTAATCGCACATACATTTAACAGATTTTGACCAGGATGGCCGATCGGACAATATATCATTCCTAATAAAGCGCATCAAAGTGCATACGGGCGACGCGTTAAAGGACCCGGAACTTCATACTGTTCAATTAACTTCACGTAAAAGTGTATATCAGATATACTGTATATATTTACACTGCATACCACTCTCGCCCCCACCTAACACTATTTCGCAGCCTCCTAATCAAATGCGATACAGTTGCCCACATTTTGGGTGTGAAATATCTGTTGTGATTAATCTTTGCAGTGATATATCAGATGAGAGCACTTCTGTAGATTAAGTTTAGACTTTTTTCAATGAACGAGAAAATTGTATAATAAAACAAATATTACTTTCGACATGAAAAAAATAAAATACTAAAAACTATCGCAAAACACTATGAATTGTATGTTTGCATTGAATTACAGTAAAGGTTTTTGTGTTGAATTTATGTTTCAAAAATATATTCTGACTTTTGTTAAGAAATTGATCGAAACTTTATGCATAAATCAAAAGCCATTTATCACTATTACGTTCACTAAAATAGATATTTGAATAATAATCAAATAGAAAAATTACTGTTGTTATTTTAAATACATTTGTAACTTTTCAAACAACACATATATTTCCCACATTCAGCTATAAATTACATTGATTCTACAATTTTTAATTAAATTTGCTGAAACTTTGAATGACATATCTATGTTAAAATCAATCAACTATATTTTGAATTATAATTAATAAAATATACTTCGCAACAAATGTTACAATAAATACAATATGAAAATAATGAGAAACAAATAAATGAGACAATATCTAAAGACAAATCAAATAATTAAACAAACATTAATCTAATTTGTTAAGGAT